GTAGCTTCTTGCTCCTAGTAGTATGGCCAGGAGCTACTAGTAGCGTCTGTTAACTTGCGTGGTTGTCGCGGGAATTTTCAAAATAAGCGTTTCAGCATGTTCCGAAAATAGAAACTACCTTCAGAAATCCAGACCTGTGTCATATGCAAATGCAGTCCATCCCTCCCGGGCACAAAAACACCCTTTTGTCATCCGTGGTCGGTCTGGGGTCCATGGAAATCCACAGATTTGAGCTTTAAAGTTCTCAACGGCTTTCGATGCAAAACAAATGTAGCCCCTTCGGCCCACGGAACTCAGGACTAAAATTTCCTGAAGCCCACTGCCTGAGAGGTAAGCCCCTCAGCAAATTGGAAAATGCGGCGTAATGCGATGATTAATTTGTTTGCAAATTCTAATTCAAGTCCAAATCCAAAATACGAACTTCACGCTCCACCTTTCCTCGGTCTGGATCTAGACCGATCTCGCTGGGACTCCTTGTCTGCCTTCTTGTCCTTTTCTGGAGACTTCATACAAATGTAGGCGGCGCTGAGCCATCCTGATGATACCTTAGAGGGCAGTCGAACACTCCGCAATGAGAATCCATTGCCCACTAGAGCTTCAGGATTGAAACAGGAGCCACGCCGACTCCATCGCCTCTAGGACTCCAGAACATGATACGAAAACAGGGATACCTCTTGATTCAATGACCGATTAGCCACCCGACCCGACCCACCCACAAAAGCAAACGCACTTGCTGGCTGCTGGCCTGGGAGTCTGCATACAAGTCAAGATATTCATTTGCTTCGGCTGTCCCTTGGACAAACTCCACCATCTCACCATTCACAACTCCGTATAGGAATGGACCATCACCACGGTGACCACGTACCTCTTTTTCCTTGGGCATTTAACAAAAGTAAGCGCCCTGAAAAGTTCAAGGCGCTGAGGCACTGTGCGACAGTTTGAGGTCTGAAAATTGCGGCACCATATACGACTCACAAACTGTGAGTGACGTGAGGTCTGACAGTTTGAGTCTGAGTTTGGAGCTAGTTATACTAACGGACCAACGTTCTCTTAATAATATAAATATAATATATTCAACATATATTATATATATTTATATAAGTACTGGAATCCAGTTCGGACGGTCCGGAGTCTGGACCGTCTGCCTCTGTTTTCGCAGCAGCGTGCCCGAACAATCAAGCCTTCGGTCTGATCAAACCAGCCGCTTGCAAGCCCCATGAGCGTGTCTGCTGCACGCTCAAGATGGAACCTGACACTCTGGGACCCGAAGGCCCAAAGAGTTAGCGTAATTGCAACGCACCAGGCTGCCTGGGAACAGCTCCAGCAGAACCATCATAGCAATAATAGTCATAGCTAATAGAATCTAGAAGAAACAAAGATACAGCAGCAACAACGGTGTGAGTAGTGTGTTAGAACTGTTTGAACTAACTGCTGAAATAAGTACAGTGTCCGCCCGCTCAGTGTCCTGTGTGTTCTGTGCCATGTCATTGAAAATTTCAAAAAGTGGGACCGGACTACAACCCATCGTTTGGTCACGTCGCAGTGAGCTGCCCTCCTGACGGCCGTGCTTAAACCATCAAAAAGGCCAAGGTCTATGGAGCAGCGACTCAGCTAACCACTGACTCTGACCTAAGATTGGTTCTGGTCGCGTTTGCTCTGATAGTCCTTAAGCCATCAACCCTCCACGCAGGCATCATTCGATGCCTATCCCCCAAACCCCAGTATTGCTGCAACCTTTGATCGCAGGATCACCAAGCTCTCACTCAATATCCTGGTCCCGAGAGCTGTACTTCTTCAAGGGAGCGTGAATGAACGCCGACAACATGGTCTGGTTCTGGTGCGAGGCAGCCTTTGCGAGCATCTTTTCTGCTGCGGTCTTCCTGTGCTTCTTTTCCTTCTTTTCCTTGTCCTTGTCCTCCTCCTTTTCCTTCTGCCGTTTCTCCTTCTTGTCCGACTTGTCCGAGTCCTTTTCTTTTTTCTTTTTGTCTGCCTTGCTCGCCTTGTCCTTGTCACTCTTCTTGTCCTTCGCCTCCTTCTTGTCCTTCGCCTCCTTCTTGTCCTTCTTGGCCTTCTTTTCCTTGCCAGGCTCAGGCTCATCCTGTTCGGCTGGCTCAGATTCTTCCACCTTTTTCCCCTTGGCTTTGGCCTTCGCCTTTGCCTTCTCTTTGGCTTTTGCTTTAGCTGCCAAGGCTTTCGCTTTGGCAGATGCTCCTTTTCCTGGCCTTGCCTTTGCTGCAGCTTTGGCACTGGCACTGGGTGGCATTGCAGTATCCTTTGCGTCCACCTCCTGCTCCTCCTCCTGCTCCTCCTCCGCCTCCTGCTCCACCTCATCAGTGTCAGTCTCCTCTGCCTCAGCCTCAGCGCCAGCCACCTCAGCGGCGCCTTGACGTCCAGCTTTGCTTGCGTCCACATCCATGGAAGACTTGTCATTCTTTTCAGCTTCAGCTGTCGTACCAGGTGCAATTGGGGTGTCCACGTCCATCAAGGCCTTGACATCCTCACTGCCACCGTCACCGGTCTTGTGATCGCTCGCCTCCATTGCCACTGCCGTGGGTTCGGTTTCTGAAGGCGATGACGTTGGTTTCCTTTTCCCCTGACTCTCAGTAGCTTCAGCTTCGTTGGCACCTTCATCCGGCCGTGTGGCCGAGGACATGCCGGCATTGTTCTCACCTGACTTGGCTGGCTCCTCCGACTCCCTTTCAACCTCTGGGATGCTTTCGGACGAAAGCACTGCAGAAGGTCCATCCTTCACAGGGACATCTCAGTTCAAGAAAGTAACCAAGTTCCAAAGAGTGCCAGTGGTGCAGTGGTGCCCGGAATCACTAAATATATATAATATAAATTGAAATTGAACTGAACTCTGAAGTTCCGAGGAGAACATTGAACAAAAACAACTGCGTCCTCAGCGCCAGTCGCAACTTCAGGGGCTGCAGCACCATCGGATCTACCATCATCCTGGTAGTTATGGTGTGGCGGCGGCGGCACGGTCAAAGTCGGAGGGTGGTGATCAAAGCACACAAGGCATACATTCATAGTATTTACAAGTACCAACACGATTGTGGTTCAGGGCATGGCGTCCAGGTATCTAGTGTGCGGTGCAGTGCAGTGCACTGACTGACTGTGTAGAAATCGTCAATCGCGAATCGCAAGTGGAACCCCGGTCCTGTGGTCCAGTAGCATCCATCACAGGGCGATGCTGAGGGTCCGTTGCCCCTGCCTCCTTCTTGACTTTCAGGGGTGACATCGGAGTCTCAGCCATAGCCCGAACGGGAACAATCGAGGGCTCTTTCCCAATCACGGTAGCTTCAGCATTGGGATAGAGGTGCTCCACGATTGCAGTCGCGAAACTGGTCAGTGGTGAAGGACGAACCTGACCGTACTTGACTCAGCTCAACCACGAAAGTCGTTTTGCATGGCATGAATCAAACCCTTGGCCTATGATACTACGACGAAGAGTGTTCCAAATTTATTGTCAATGTGTGTGTCCGTCCCGTCTCGTATAACTGTCATGTTTGTTGTTTGCTGTCACTGTCACTGTCAGGTTTGTTTGTTTGTTTGTTCAATATCAAATCGTTGTGCCTGCCTGGGTCATTGAAGAAAGAAAGCTCTCAGCACTAGTAGCCGTGAAGTGGCACAAATTGATCCTGCGGGTGTAAAGTCAAGAACGCTTCCAATTTCCAAGAAAATTGCCAACAATATTCCAAAACAGCCAAAACACCTGGGAACGCAACAATCCGGAACCAATTTGCAGAACAATAACGGACGGCAAGTCCAGCCTGACTGTGATGCTCGTCTCCACAGCTTTCTCTACAGTCACCATGCCCGCAGGTATGAACATGACGTCACCAGTCTTGACAAATTCAAAGCTGAGCTGGGGCATAGACCATGAATCAGGAACTTCAAGGCCTTCTTCACCACTCATCTGCTCAAAAAGCTCAAGGCAGCTCTTGACAGATCGCTGCTGGTAGTACTGGATTAGCTCGCTGGCCGATGCCAAGGCCACCAAGCGCTGCCCTTGCAGTTGCAGTCTGCAAGTGCAGAGGCCCGCACTCTCCAAGCCACTAAACACAGTATTGGCCTTATTGCCGACCAGCCATGCCGTTCCAAATGAATCCAAGCCTTTCTCTAATGTCCCAGAATCATCCGATTCGTCAATGATATGCTTGATGGTCTCGTCGGGTACTTCCGTGAAAGGAATCCACTCTTTGACCTTGGAGGTGATGGTGTTTGACAAGACCTGCGCGGTCTCCTCCGTCTTGTCCAGCAGGATCCTCACAGTGTCACAGTGTCAACTTGTTGAAAACAAGCAGAATTGTGTGAATTGTGAAATGTCAAATGTAAATTGCGAAGTTCAATAAGCATGACATAGCATAGCATGACCGAACTAATACAACAGACCTCAACAGACTGTTTGCTTCTGAGCTTCATACTTCTTCAATTGTGTTAATTGTGTTATTGTTATTCTGGCGGCTAGTGGATTGAAATTGAGTCTTATATAGATTGGAATGGTCCTGGGGCATGGGCATGGGGCATGGGTCAACAAAAATATAAAGCGGAATCTCGCCAAGAAATTGCCTGCGACCAAGAAACATAGACTTGTTGTCTTTTGACGCGTCAACCTTCTTCGCGAACTCCTGTAGTGTAGCTTCGAGGTTTCCGCGGGTGGCGGCGTCCTTCACGAGTTGTTTGGACAAACCTCTCCCTTTCTTCAAGACGAAAGGGAGTGAAGAGTCCGCAGTTCCGTTGGTCAGTTCCTCAACATCTTTCACTTGCTTCATCGGTCTGCGTTGAAGCAAGTTTTTGATGGTTTGGATGATCACCGGGTCGGACGAGGACAATGTTTTTGAGAAGTTCGCTCTTCCTGCCAAAACTCGTCTGGCAGCTGCATCCGTACCGTCTTC